TGTGCGCAGAAAGCTAGAAGATTCTGCTTTCTTGGCAGAAAACAGCAGCGAGTTCAAATCCTATTAACTTGAGTCAGTAGGCTGATTTCTAATACAATAGGAGAAACATTCAGATGTAACAGTCATACCAAGCTCACACCTAAGACAAAGATTGTCTACTAAAAGATCCCGATTGAGAGACCACTATCTTGTTTTCAAAAGTGCCTTAACCTCCTGGGTTTCCAGCAAACCTTGGACTCCTTCAAGTGAGGCCTTGATATGTGGAGCTTGTTATAGCTTTGGGATGGGATAGAGTCTAAAGCTGCCATTCAGCTTTTCTGCTCTACATGTAGGGATGCTGAATCCATGATCTGGGTGTCAGATCTGCTATCTGTACCCTCCTGTGGTGTTTTTTGAGAGTCCCACAGGTTTTCCAGTGTCACTTGATGAGGACCTCTCTTGGTCCTTGTGACCCAGATACAGCAAGTAGCTTGTTTTGCAGCACCAGCCTTACCACCCAGTTTCCCACCCTCCTGCCACCTTTCAAAGAGGTGTCTACTGAGTAGCTCACAGACAAAAAAGCTGCAATATCAACTGCAAGGACATTTTAAGTGAACACTGGACTTCACTAACACAGATATTTGAACGAGGTGCCCTGACAGTGCCAAGATCAGCCACTAGCTTGTGTACTTTGTCTTTTATCACTTTCTGACATTGATTCAATGCGAGATTGTTGTCCTACTTCAAAGCTTGTGTTTACTTCACAGGCCATGGAAGCATGTCACAAATTCATTTTGATGGAAATAAAGGGACAAAAAAGTATAAATTCTCGTGTCATATTTCTTTACTCTGTCATTATGCTAATTTAATCTCACTTTTCCCTGTTACTGTTATGTAATGTTATTCCCTGTCCTCTTACTCAGTTTTCCTGGTTGATCTGCCTTTGTTAAACATCCATATTAATTCAATCAACAAGTAAACCATTAAATGAGAAATCTTGCAGTTTAAATATGAAACTCTGATTCATATGGGAAGTGAGTTTTTTCCTTTGTTTTAATGAAAGCAGTCTCAGCAGCTCATAGACACAAAAAAAATCACACATGGAAAATGTGCGTAAGCTGTTTGTGCTTCAGCTTTGAGGAAATGTTTATGTTGTGCCATGGTTAATACGCATTAAATTATTGTTAAATCCCTAAATTATTTTTGTTGTTGTTGTTTGAAAATGGGATAGGCCCTCTTTATTTGTAGGAACAAGCAGAAGACAGAAAATGATCTTATTGAAATGATTTATTGTTTTGCTTTACAACCATGAAAGAGAATGGCATTTTCTGGGCTGTATATGTGCCTGGCTGTTGGCAGCTCGCATTTCTATGGTTAGAGTATAAGATTATTAATAGAAAAAATTATTGATTTATCTCCTATCACACTTTAAATGCTCATCAGAAGTTTGCTCCCAGCACTAACCAGTTAGGCTTTGTGGTCTTGTGGGTATGAAAGTAAGTGGCTCGTGTTTGCATGCAATAAACTTCTTTCTTCCAAAACCTGATGGTCATAAGCATCCTTCAGCACCTTTCTGCTCTCTTTTCCCTAAAGTTTCTAACATTTACTTTGAATTTCTGAGTGAACAGAATATGACTCATACAGAATTTAGTTGAAGTACACTCTACCTGTATTGCTTCCAAAACTACTAGTCTTGCTTAAAAGAATAGCAGTTTCCAGACTGAAAACATTGAGAGAGGTTAGAATATTAACATACCATTTTTTCCCTTCTGCTTTGTGAATTCCAAATTCAATTATGCTTTCTGGGAGACTGAGTACAGTTACATTTTAAATTCAAAAGTACAAGTGCAATTTATATGGGCTGACTGGTTTCTGATCAGGAGAGTTAAATACTATTTCTAAGTGCTGTTTTCATCTTACTCTTTGTAGCTACTAGCTTCACCTGTGGCTCTGGAAACAAAATGTTAGCAGCAGTATGAAGTAAAAAATTGAGGAAATACTATTATTATTATTATACTGTTATTTGGAACAGAGCAATCTACTCTTCTTATTTCTTTCTACCTTGACTATCCATTCCATCTGCAGTGGGCTAGAAGAAATTACTAGTGATAAAGGAGAATTATACCAAGAGAAACTAAAGTGCCTTTTTCATTTCTGGGGCATATAGAAGTCAAGACAAGGGTCCGTGTCTCTTTTAAATAAAAAAAATGAAAAAAAAATGCAGTACTTAAACAGCAATAGAAACAAGCTGTGTCATTATCCTTACTTTTTGCCAGAGACCCATAAGCATGTATGAGTCAGGGCAACTAGGTAAACTCTGTAGCATGACCTACAGGGTTTTTGGGGCCAGCATAGAATATTAATTCTAAAACCATGAAAGAATCTCTGTGCAGACACTTCTTCGTCTTTCATTTTATAGCAGTTTGCCAAACAAAATCATGATATTTTCCACAGTCTACTAAATTTCTCAGATTCTCGTCTGTGTCTGTGTGTGTGTGTGTGTGTTATAAAGTTACCTGTTTTATTGTTCAATACATCTGGCAAACATAAATAATCGAAATTTCTTTTTCAGTAAGGTCACTGAATTTTTTCCATGAGCATGGTAACTTATGATCTTGAAAAAATTTAGACTTGTTTAAAATTTCAGTTTTGCAAGAAACAGACTCCTTAAACTTTGGGTCTTAATGTTGTCAGAAAAAAAATCTAAAATTCAATTAGTGTTTTGGAAATACGTTTGATCCTAATTGGTTTTCTTTTAAATTTCATTGTTAAAATATGCCATACCTTTCTGGTCATACATGATTTTATGGTTTAATAGCTTGAGAAATTAACTTGTCTTCCTTCCAATGATGTTTAAAATCAGCAACTAAGGGATGAGCATAAAGCCTAAGAAACACTATGGAAAATATGGAAGGCTTACAATTTCAGTTCTGTATTAGCTACTGCACATGTGGAACTAGGAGACTGCAGATCACAAGGGGTAGTGAGGACTTCTGATTCTCAGAAGAGATGTGCTTTTGTCTGAGAAAATCCCTGGCATCTGCATGATGTACTGGAATGTATCGCCTTACTTGCAAAGCTGTAACTGTGTTATGTTCAAGGTTTTATTTCATAATTTTTTTCTATTCTAGGTTTCTAGAAGTTTCAACTTTGCCTTTACATAGTTATTTACAGATGAATTGAAAATAACCTTTTATACTTTTTACCCATATATCATCTCCTTTAGCATTTTAAGGGAACTTCAGTGTTCTTGTTGGGTGTGATTCTTTTTTTCTTTTTTGTTCTTTTTCTGGGTTTGGGTAGTCGCTTATTAAATGAGAAGAAAGTTGTTTTGATTTCTTCTGTTTTCTTTCCTTTCTTTCTCTATCTCTATACCCCTCCATGGATTTGACTAGCAGAACCAAGATTTTTGTCCATAATCATACATTGTCAACAATGACAAGGGGTGTAATTAGCTTCATAACCATATTATATCATAGAATCACAATCTCTCAGATGTTTAACTCCATTGGCTGTGAGTCCAGACAGCTGCCCGTAATTGCCAAGTACATAAATGTTTGCAGGTCTATTACTGGTTTTCATAAACTTAAGTAAACCTGATTTGTAAAAAAGTTAGTCTCCTGTTTAGATTTTAAACAGACATCTTTCTATGGCAAAGATTCAGTCTATCTAAAATTGTCACGCGTGCAAGTATCAGCCTCATATTTCAAGCTGAAGGATTTTTAATTTTTAAACTTGTTTGGGGTAAGTTCTTACTCTGTGCAAAGTTAAAAGTGCTGCCACTTAAAAGGCAAGAGAGCACAAGGGAACACAGCTTACTGGATTCATCTAAACAAGGCTAAGTGGACTGGATAAAGCCTAATGAATTAAACAGGCTTTTGAAAAATCACTGGTATTTTAAATAGCAACTTTGGACTGGGTCATTTGCTCCAGAGACTTAAAGTGGTGCGGTAGGCCACTGTTGGAGGCTGTAGTAGTTAAGAATAAGGGTAAAATCCTGCTGCCATGGAAATGAACAACAAAAGTCCCACAGATCTCAGAAAGAGGCCATGATTTAACCCAGCATCCAGCTTTTTCCATTTGCCAAAGCAGACACTAAAACACAAAGCAATTGCAGGAGAGAGCAAAGGAGAGGAGAGAATTTTCCATGCAAACAGGCTTTAATCAAACAGGCTATTTTATAATGAAAGACATAATAATGAGGGCTTACTCACAGTTAAGGGAATTTTTATGTCCCAAGGTTTTTCCAGTTTTGCCAGATGCTAAGTCAAAAACAAGGCAGGAGGAGGAAGGAGAAGGCTAGAGAAAGAAACATTTTGGCTACTTCTAGACTCTGAAGAGAATCAAGTTCTTGTGCTAGTTTTTAAATATTATATGTCCAGAGGGGAATAGCAGAAAAAAGCACAGAATTGTAATGGAAGTATAAGTAGACCCAGACCAACGGGAAACTCACTGTGATTCTGACAGGCTTTAATTTGCCAAAACCTTGCTTGTGCTGCAGTAGTTTCCCTGTATCCGCACAGTACAGATGTCTTTAGGAGTAGGAGGCATGCTCCTCCCATTCCAGTTTCCTAGAAATGGATGAAAGCTTGAAGATTTCTACATGCAGATGTTTATTTATTTATTTATTTATTTCCTCACCAGCAGCAGACCTGTTTCTCAATCCAAAAATTTTCATTTCTCTCTTTGCCAAAGCCTTTTACAGTTCCTTGCCACTGGGGGCAATCCAACACAGGTATTGTGGTGGCCAACGCTGCCTGTGCTTTGCAGCCACAGTCCTGGGGAGCTCATGATAGCTCAACCAGCTACCTTGAAAGAAAGAAGTGAATACAGTTAAGGTCAGATGAAAACAGCATCTACTGTATTTCACTAGAAAACGAGGAGATATTTATCTCTGAGTAAGAAGGAAAGATGATAGCAACTTTAAGATTTAAATTGATCCAAGTATATGATGCTAAAGATCCTAAATGGTTTCAAATTGCGGAAGATTATCTTGTAATTTGTATATATTGCTTCTGTAGGCTGCTGAGGAAGCTAATTGCGGTACATCCTGTGGTTAAGTTATCATCTTTCTCAATGACTGAAGATCATAATTTTATCTTTAGGTGAGTTTATTGCTACCTGTCTGTTATGTTCATTTGTATGCTGGAGCAGTGCTGACAAGCCTCCTGTTGTTCCCTGTACAATTTGTGTCAGCCAACCAGGTTAGTGGAAGATTCACCTCTGTTAAACTACTATATAGGAAACAAGCTCAGTCCCCAGGGAGAGCAGGGGTTTTTTTGTTTGGTTGGTTTTTTCCCTCTTTTCTTTTTTATCCCTTGTGTGGCCAGTGAATAGGGGCTGCAGCTGGAAACAGGCTCTTGGGCTGCATTCATGTACATTCCAACTGACCTGACTGCACGTTTACAAACAGCAAAGTATGCAGTATCAAAGCAAGTGCACAGGTGTAAGTGGAAATGAGATATCCTCGTGGTGCTGGGGGAAACGGATTGTTTTGTTGAGCAGCGTTTGCCTTGATGCACAGTGATTGCCTGATAAGAGCGTTTTCCTACACAGGAAAACTGCCGAGAAAATGGGATCACTGCTTGCCTCCATTTGCCCTCACCTCAGCCACCAGAGTGCTGACACCTGGGGGAGCAGTCACACACCACCAGCTTTGTTCAGTCTTATATTTTATTCTTTAACTGGTGTATTGAATACAGATTGGAGAGACTGCCAAGGAAACTTTTTTTTCCTTAAGCAGAAGGGTAAGTGAAACAATGAAAGGATTTATTAATTGTCAAATTAACTTATTCTTTTGATATAAGCTGATGTGAAAGACCATGCCAATTCTGCATATGTGACATCCTGTCAGATAGTTGGGGACTGATGGTGGAGAGCAATAGGGTCTTTTGCTATCCTGTCTGCTTTTCCTTTTGAAATGTTCTTGTTGTCTTTTTCTAGCATAAGTTTGGATCTCTTGCATATAAGACTCTTTTCTTAGCTTGCTGAAATGAAAAGCGTGTTGGGAATGACAAAAGGAAGATGCACGTAACTACAAAGAAAGGGCAGGAGCAGGTGAATCCCAGCTATGTTAAAAAGACATGTAAGTTTTAAAAAAACCCCAGAAACCTAACCAACAAACCACAACCAAACCCTAACACAAACAAAAGAATAATGTAGATGTGTATGGTTGGGTTTTTTGTATTTTTGACTGACAATTCTGCAGAGAGTGCTCTGTAAGGAGTGAAATCTGAGGCAGAAATTACTAGAATAAAAAGAAAAACTATCTTAGCACTCTTGTGTGCAGAATCAGTTTAGACAGGAAGTGAAACCAAACCCCTGCATCCAAGTACAGCCTCCAAAAATGCTGAGGAGTATTTAGTTTAGGTTTAGGCTTAACGTCAAATTGGGTGAAACTCCAGGTTGTCTCCCAAAGTTTACCATTTTTCATACTAATTAAAGGTAGATGTCAGGACTTGTTGTCTGTATTCATCAACAGAAGATGAAGTGAAGGAAACTCTTCTCGATGCTCTCCTTAAAGTCAATAATGAGAGCTGATGTCAACACACTCAAGCAAATGCTGCATATAGAGACTAGGGCAGGAACATTGCTGGACATCAGGCTGTAGCAATTAGGCTGCATAAGAGGCAGTTTCTAGTGAAGGTGGCCAGGTGTTTGGGCTGGGTGATGAGGTGTCGGCCGGAGATGGATGTGGGATAAGAAGAGGGGAGGCAACTAAGAGGTGTTAATTATTGGCACAGATAGTGGTTAGACATGGCACCACTGTTGGGACAACTTGTTGATGGGAGTTATGAAGCATGTTGGGAGAAAAGATGTCAGGTAAAAAACTGCCCACATGTTTCTGAGCTCTGAATAGGTTTGGGGGTTTTATAAATGTTGATGGTGACTTGGCTGTACAACAGTTCTTGCTTTTGGAAAACTGAAATGTAAGACTGTGTCCCTTTCTGCTAATACGTTCTGTTAAGTAATCTTTACGAATAAATAAGTATACTAATATATGTTGTCAGAGTACTGACTAGCTCTCTGGTTAGGGAGAGGGAAGCATGGGAGAAACTGTTGGTTCTCACTCATCGGATTTGGTTAATGTATGCGGGTGACCCTAACAGAGATACCTTAGTTTGGCGAAAACTTTGGAAGCTACCTCTGAAATCCAAGTGTCAAGGTTAATCCTGTGAAATATGAGGTATCTGTAAAAACAGAAGTGAGCTATTTCTCAGCTGAGTTCTAGCAGTGTTCACAACCTGAGCTGGATGAAATGACTGCAGACGGATTTCTAACTAGTTGAAAAGGCTGGACAAACTCATGCATGCCCTGCTTGCCCTGCTCTGCTTACCCTGGGAGGCTGTACAGTGTTTTCCTACACATGCAGGCAGCATGGTAGCTGCCTCAAGGAGTGACTGGAAGCTTCTGTGTTGATTAAGCCAAAGGGTCCAATGTTTTGCAAAGGCTTTAAGCGAAGCCTTGTTGTATAATTTATCAGGATGGCAAAAACTTGGAGCATTTTGGCTTTAGAATAAAAATACTTCTGATATTGCTGTCTTGCTCGCTGACCATAGTGAGGAGTAGGTTATGAGCTGCCCTCCTTTCTGCACTCTGCCGTTTGGGTTGCAACATCCCTGGGTGGTGGTTGGAGGGGAAGGAAGCCGAGCGCCCTGTCTCTGACTTTGCACCACATGTTTCAGAGCGCGGTCGTTCACTCTCACATTTTACAAAATCAATTTCCATTCTGTCATGGTATTTCACACATTCGCATTCTGAATAAGTTAGAGAATATTCTACAACTTACAAAAATAACTTTAGTTTTAATTTTTCCTGTTACATGAAGAAACCTATCCATACTTTATCTGTTACAGATGGAAAAACTACATATGGAGAAGTCAGATCTATTAATTAGTTTATAGGCACAAAGTCCCCTAAAGAGTGCCACAGATCCATGTGTTATTCGTAAGAGCTGTCTGAAGTACTTGCACTGAATAATTTATTTCAATTTAGCCCTGTTTCTGCTGTTAATTATCCAAGATCAGATTTTGCTTTTTGGAATTTTATTGTTTTGGGCTTTTTTTTAAACAACTTTTCCCATTTACCTAAGTTCACTGAAGTGCTCTCTGAATATATTTCAGCCTACAGAAGTATTCAAACCATCAACACTCATTGAGTGTGTTCTGTTGTTTCTAAGGCATGATAGGATGATTACTAACTTCTGTTGTTTTTAATCTTTCAGTCATTATTTAAATCCTAGGAGAAGGAAGAAAGTGGGAGGAAACCAGGAGAATAGGAAAATCAGCCGCATGAGAACTCCAAACTGTATTATTGTTTATTTCACCTTTGAGGACTGCTTCAGGACCCTAGCTAAGAATGTGGCTCTATTGCTCCAGGAAAAGAGGGCCAAACAGCATCTTCCCAGTGCTGCGTAACTCTTTGGTATTGGAGGGGGTTAGGGTCAGTTAGGAAGCAGCACGTGGGGGACCAGGGAGCACTCATTTCCATGCTCAGCCCTAGTGACTTTTCCCTGGATTGTGCAACTTTAGACTCCACCGTGGAATCCTTTCAGCAGGAGAGACAAGAAGGGCCAGGGCAATAGGTGGGAAAGAGTTGGGCAAACAAGGGTGAGGTAGAAGAGTGGCAGTAGTCTGAGAGTTGTATTTTTGGTTGTGGATTATTTTATATGTGAGGCTTTAGTTGGCCTGTTTATGAAATAAACCCAGCAAAATGTACAATCTATTTAAACCTTTGTACAACAACATAGCAGGGTAATGTAATCTGCGCCCTCATTGAATTACTGTGAATTTTGCCTGCTAAATTAGAATTATTCACCCTCTCTATGCAAAAATGCTTTTTCAGCATTTTTGATGCATCTACTATTGTGTGGTGTAGCTGTAGTAGTAGTTATGGAAAAGCTATCCAGAAAAACTAAATTAAACTCTACTGAAATCTGTGTCTACTTAACACTCTATGTTTTATTCTTCTAACACTGCCCTGTGAAATACCAGCACTCCTGTATTAGGTAACACACACACTGGTGGGCATTCACCATCCCAGAGCACAGGGACAATCTGATGAGGATCTGTGGGCACTTGAAGATGGGAGATATTTGCTGTTGTTCTCAAGGGCAAAATGAAGTGACTGATGGGATTTGCAAGAGCACTGGTTGCAGCTTTAGCAATCATAATACCTTTTAAAACCTGTCCCTGATCTTAGACGAGAAAAGCAAAGAAGACTGGAGAAAAATATCTGTAACTGTGTCCTTCCCAGAGGGCCTCAAAGGAGAAAGTCACTTTTCCAGAATTAACTAGAGAATCTGAAGTAGCATTGGACTTTGAACCCCGATCTTGCAGTATGCTGCCATAAACACAGAACACAGAAATGGTTTTGGGCAATGAATGGGAGAAAGGGTCAAAAATGTAAAGTAGTTCACAGCTTGCAGACGCGTTCTCTTACTTATTCCTCTCTGTTAGTGCTAAGTGTTGCATTTGGGACTCTGTGAGAGCTGAAAGATTTATTTAGCTGGATATGATTTATTTATTCAGGTAACTCCCTCTGGTACTATTTATGTAGTTGTGCATTTTCATATTCCAGTAAGTCAGTAAAATGCAATGTGTTGATGTACAACGGGAATGTTAAGCAATTAAAGAGTGTGTTGGGCCCCACTATTGTTGGTTAGGTCATGCCTTAATTAAGTTTTCTGTATGTTTTCATATCTCTTGCTGGACATTTGGGCAGGCAGCAGGCTCTTAATGCTGCCACGATTTGGCACTGGGACTCCTGGGTTACCTCCAGTCCTTGTACACAAAGACTGTTGATAGAATTGCGATAAGGGCTCAGGGGGAGATAAGGGCTATGTTTTGGCCCAATGGCTTGACCTTGCTCTTGTTGATCCAACAGCAAGAGTCCTATCAATTTCAAAGTGATTGGGACACATTAATGCATTTTCATTCTGGAGAGCTGCATGCATGCAGATGGGAGGGACTGCTGGTGCTGACGCTGAGTGCAGTTTGTTGATACGCAGGTGCCTGTTCTTGCGCGAATCAGTCCTTCTTTTGGCACGGCAGCTTTATGTATCCGTATTTTGTGTGCGAACACAATGTT